GCGTGTACTTTGAGTTAAGCTCCACCCTAACATTCCCATCCAACCCGAGTGATCAAATGTCAGTAGATAACGACACGCATACCGGCCATCAAGCAATTAGCGCACCAGAGCGCATTCATCCTCGATTAGGGGGAGCCGTTAATTTTCACAAGTGTGTAGTAGCAAAGCGATTGTATTCATATACTACAACTCCCTCTGTGCGAATTACCCATAGCCGATGCTGTCGCTGATGATGATTTCGGGCACGAATCCGGAACGTCAGGCGAATAAATTTCTTTTTCCAGCGACAATGTCCATTTCTTCTGAACATAATGTTCTCTCGCACGATCGCTTTCCCATTTTTCGATTGTACTCATTCCTTTACTCACCTTTGAATCTTCGAATGATGTAGACACTCGCACACTCGGTGCACAGTAGACCCACAGTGTTTCTATGAGAAAAAGGAATGCTGGTTGGTGAACTCCACTCCGTCCACCTCGCAGGTTTTGTAAATATCTCAGTTGCATTCTACTCGGATTTTAGGCCATCCCAAGCGGTGCATTCTTTCCCATCCATCCAGACAGATTTGCAGCGTATCTGGAAAACTCAACCCATTCTCTTCTCCAATAATGCAGAATTACTTCCATGTCTCGACGAACTGCGTCGAGGCGGGTTTTAAGTTTACATCCCCTCTGGTGGCTCCAGGTAAGCCAGAGCGCCGATTGGAAGGCATTATAACTGAGCGCGTGAGGCGTACAACAGAATTAAAAATCTAAGTTATCGGCAAGTCTGTGTGCTACAGCCGGTCGTCTTCAAATTCGCAAATAAACTCCTTCTGGATATCGTTCTGTTGGAGGTCGAAGGAGCTGAGTGTCATGCCGATTTTGAACATACAAGGGCACTACGGTATGGGCCTGCGATAATGACCTCTTCCATCCATCCGCTTTAAGTAGAATGCGCAAGAAAACTGACAAGAAGAAAAGTATTATCGTGCCACGGTAGCCATACACACACACACACACACACCGGTTTCCCCCGTCGATTTCGACGATGGGCACCACGCGCTCCAACAAGCCGCAGCAATCGCAGCAGAGGACACCATGCGTAGCTAATCCGAGTTCAAGAAGAACGATAAGGCAGGAAAGGAAACAGTGCCAAAGCTGCATGACTGTCTGAACAATTTTGGCTTTTCTACTATGGCAGTGAAGCCAGATGAGTTAGTACATGAAACTTCAAGTCTACACAATAGGCGGACAATTAAGCTTCTCAATAATTACGAGCGCTGTGTTCCAAAACGGGTACTCATGTGTGCGCACACTGACTACCGGTCATCATAAACTGAGTGGAAGGAATGACAACCTTGCTGTTTTTTCAAAATCTTTTTTGATGTTGGAGTCTTGCAAGAGGCGAAGAAGTCAAATAGTAATCTAAAATCATAGTCGTTGTGTGTGGAAATTGAAAGCGTTCTGAAACCGAAACATGCACAATTCTCCAAAACGGTAAGAGAGTAATTACCCCCCTCACCAGTAGATGGGGTGGTCAATTTGAAAACTGTAAACCGTGTATTTACCCGGTTGAATAAACAGAAGAAGTGAACTATTAAAGCATGAAGAACAACGAAACAGGAATTGAAAAAAGCACTAGCTTTTCATCATATTTCTTCTTAGCCAAGACGGAGAAAGATGGGTCGAGGCTGCTTAAACTGTCGTGGAGAAATACCCAGAGTGTCAGGCACTTGTGTTACATTCCAGCAATTGCTGGACCCCGTTGGCATGACAACGGTAACAATTCAGACATGTCTTAACTTACCTAAGCCGTAGCATTCACAGACCGGTAAACCAGATAGTAGCGTCAACGACGCAGGCGTAGGAGGAGGAACCAGCTTAATAGAAAAAAAATGTGCAGATCTCGATTGAAAAGTAATATTATCAAGCTGGAATAGGAGATCAGACAAGTACAGACGTGAAATAACCTTGCGACCGTTTGCACTTTGTTTACTGATGTGAGCTTTCAGACTTGTATAGAAGCTTAATCGTCAGAGGTAGCATGCACTGCAAAAGGGCTACAATTATCGGGGTGCAGGCCAATCAATTATCAGTGACGCACCGACAGAGAGTGAAATGCCATGAAAGGAAACTGAATATTTTGATCACGGTCGACACCTAAGCGTTAAGTAATGGTTTGAGGATTTGGCTGGTCCTCTGTTGAAACTGAGTACTTGCGTCGTCTAAAAACTAAAAACATTGAGGAGTGTGATAAGTACGACGCAAGTACTGAGGTTTAACAGCAGGCACCCAATCCATCATAAACGCAAGTGCAGAATAAAACGACATCGGTGTGTTGTGGTGCAATGCAACGAACCGGAAGACGAGATTGCCTAATTGCAATGCCTGCGACGGGTACTCAGAAAAAGTGGCTGCCCACTCAACT